GGATTAGAATCTGATTTAGGGCTTCATCTAATTATTTGATTGATTGACTAAGAGATTAGCTTTTGATTAGGTAATTGGAAACTAAATTACTAAGAGATTAGGATTTGGTTACTCTAGATTCGTTGTGCATAGATTTGTGAAAACCTTAGAATTGTGATTGAATGTATACATTGGCCCTTAAGGGAAAAACATCTCCGAAGCTCTTAACATTCCATTCATCTGATTTTTCTTCAAGTAATATTTCTGCACTCTTTCACTATTATTATTTTCGAAATTCACTACACAATTCTCTCAAGTTTTATTCTTGATCTGCTTAATATAACTAACAGATAGTATTGCTTGGTCCCTTATTCCTCGTGGGAACGATACCCACTTCACCGTGGTATTACTTGAACGATTCGGTGCACTTGCCGAGATCAGAGCGTATCAGACGGTACATATCCTGCATCCGTATTCTGAAAATCTCATCTCACGGAAACTCCGACACGTGATTCCGAGTGGCTTGCCTCGAAATAAAGTGGTTTGGAAGGAGAGCAAGACATCTCATGATTTCGGGAATTTCCTGTCCACCTCTTCAGCAAGACATCCTGCATGACTTCCTGTCCACCTCTTCAGGAAGACATCCTGGATGATTTCGGGAAGGTTCACAACATCTTCGGTCATGAGCACGTATATAAGAAGAGCATGTTCTATGTCGAATGCGGTGCCCTTCGGTTGTTCTAGTATAGTGGTGAATATTTCCGCCTGTCACACGGGCGACCCGGGTTCGATCCCTGACAACAGCGCCAAAAACGTAACGTGTCCGCCTAGCTGTTTGTAACACGGGCTATTTCCTTTTCTATGATGGGGACTTCATCCTCTTGCGTGTCAACATTCCCAGGAGTGATTGGAGCATTATGTGAATCTTCTATGATGGGTTCCTTAAGCCTTGTTCTCGAATGCAAAGTAATAGCACCCTGGCTTTCTTCTAGACATTGTGGTGGAGAGGAAACAAAATGACAAATGACGGAGCTTGCTAGTTTTGCTATGGTTCGCAGATGATTATCTATTTTTCTTTGAACTCCCATTATTTCCGCCCTTTCTTGTGCTAAAGTTTCGAACATCACTTCAAAATGACCCTGGCGTTGAGATTCGACAATGTCAATCTGACATGTTGACATGGAATCCTCAAAGCTGAAATATCCGTCATTACTGCTATCAGAATGGTACTCGTTTTGGCAAGGTTCCCATCCTTGACTATTATTGAATATGGGGTTGTCATCCATTTATGATGAGGAATGTACCTGTGATTAGGGGAATGTACCTGTGATTAGGTTAATGCAATTGTGAATTTAAACGGCACAACTTTCTTAAAAGAGAAAAGTTACTATTTATTATACTACTATATCTACTAATCCTAAAAATTTAAAAGACTATCATATTTACATTATAAACATATCCACAAACAGCAAAAAAACAAGCGCACATCTTTTAACTTCCCGGCAACGAAGCAAAAATCTGACGCGCTCGCCTTGGTCAGTTGGAAATTGATCTTTTTACGATATCCAATTTCTTGTAGTTTCGAACAATGCTACAACAGGCAAATCGAGATTTAAAAAGGTGTCACAAAGCTTGGAACCACTTAAAAATACCGAGTATTGAACTCGGGTCATTCTCCCTAAGAATTGAAATATTGTGACTTGCGAAAATATCAGGGGTTGCAATAGTTGAGAGTTAAGAACAAGAACAAAAAGAGAAATGGCAAGAATTGATATTGATAAAAAGGGTCTTGGTCTTTAGTTGAAGTATTGTGTGTCCCAATGAAAACCATTAATCCCAATTAATTAATTATGAATGGTTGTCATGTAAGGCACAAAACTCATTCTGTCAAGTTCATCTCATTAAGGCCTCAAATATCACTAGCAAAAGCCTAGTGTTAACGGAACAGTTTTAACCATGGCCCTAATCCATTCTTTTCCTTAGAGATTAGTGGCTAAAATCATCCACACTTCAATCCATGACCAAGACACAATAGCACTATTCCATACTCATAAAAAACAAAACATCAAACATTTCGTCTGCATGATAAAAAGACATGGTAAATAACAAGAGAAATAGACAAATTAAAATAACTAATGAATTAAATCAACAAGATAACTAACAAACAAGCATAATCAAACCATAGATCACTATTAGAACATGCATCAAAATAAATTCCAACAATATATAAAAAAAAACATTCGAACATAAATGCTATAAATCAGAAAAAGAGAATTAGATGAAAGAAACTAGTAACGATTGCATTAATTAAACAAGGTATCAACAAACAAACATTTAAAAACTGAATTGAAGTAAAAGTTTGGCTAATGAAGGCTGGAAATGGAAATAGAAAATGAAGAACAAAAGAGAGACAGTGAAAGGTATGAAGAATACTCCCAAAATCTGACCAAAAATGCTAAAAACTAAGTAAGATCCTAATGGTGAATGAATGCATTGTGTTTTAGCTGTTCTCGACCCATATAAGTCGAATTGGGTCTTCAAAGGGGCCTGACCCTTGGCCTGAAAACATGAAATCTCAAAATTAGCCTTCAATTAAGTTTTGCCTAATGCTACCGTGCGGACGCACGAGTATACTGTGCGAACGCATGACCAACAAAATATTCAACTTTGACTTCACACTTGTGCTAGCGCAGGAAGGTGGCATGCGGATGCACGGTCATAAAAAACTGCGTCGTTTTGAGTAAGCTCGTGTGAACGCACGAGTCTGGGCAAAAACTTCCCTGAATTGCTTCTAGGAATCCGTACGGACGCACAGTGCCTTATCTCTCTCTTCTTGGCTTGTTTTGATGAATCATTTACTTCCAATGCCTTCCTTAGCCTTTTCTATGACATTCTTTATTCCTAAAGGCCTGAAATTTACTAGCAAACATATCAAGGCACCAAGTGGCATGAGATTTGACAAATTCCTATCAATTTTAAGGCTAATTTAGCATGTATTTATCTATATAAACATGTGAGTGCAAAGGTTTGTAAACATGGTTATTCACAAGCATTTTTGTGGTTCAAAAAGATTAACAAGTTGGCAAACAAACACAATCAATACACCCTCAAACAAGTCAAATGAATGACATGATGCATGCCTGCCCTACTGGCTATAAGCTCACATGTAGGTTATCTGCCAAAACCCTCTGATAAAACCCGTTCCCATGAGTAATTTCACTGCATTAATTGATTAATTATCACCCTTTAATAACTTAAACACTAGCAAAATAGGTCTAATTTCACTTAGTAGTTCCATCGGCAAGTGCACCGGATCGTATCAAGTAATAAAGAGTGAGTAGAGTATCGTTCCCACGGAGATTAATAGACTAATCAATAATAATCAATCAATTATCTAATTAGACCAAATAAAAACCGAGATATAATAGATCTAAATCTAATCCTAACTAATCCTAATCAAATCAAAACAAATCAAATTCAAATCTAATCAAATCTAATATTATCCTAAACAAATCTAATCACTAAAATCATGCAAAATCAATTAAAACCTAATTAAATCACTAATTAACAAACTTGAACAGCAAGCAAGTAATTGAGAATTAATGAATAATAATGAAGAACAAGCCAAGGAACAAGAGATATCCACCCAAACACAACCCTAATTCAAATAAACAAGTTACTTCACATGCAAGCAATCATCAATTCACATAGAACCCTAATTAACTAAACCTTAATCTCTTAGTGATTCGGTTTCTCTAATCCTAATTAATTATTAATCTCTTAATTAATCAAATAGGAGAAGAGGTGAAGAACAATTCCAATTCAATTATGTAAATTACAAATGGAATTAATTAGTTATCTCTAATCTAATAAACCCTAATTGGAATTCACATAAAGAAGTGCATAATTAATCAATGTATTATCTCTAATTCACTAATCAATTATGAGATTCAATTT